ACACAGAACTAAGTGACATGAGTCAATGAATGGTTTGTTTGTTTGTTTGTTTGTTTTTGCAGTGTTCCCTCCTCTCCCTTCCCACCCCTGGCAACCAACAAAGAAAGTTTCCCTCCATATATAAACCTTTCCTTGACCCTCCACAACAACAAACTAATACTGTATTTGTCCTTCTGTGATTGAGTTTGTATTTACCTATATTTTTGCTTGCTGTTTTTTTTTTTCTTTTCTTTCCTGTTGTTTCAAAGTTTTGTCGTTTATCTTTTCCTTTATTTTCCAAGAACTTTCTTTAGCCGTTCATTTATGGTAGGTTTGCTGGTGACAGATTCTTAGTTTTCATTTGTCAGAGGAAGTCTCAATTTCTCCTTCATTCCTGAAGGATATTTTTGTGGGGTATAGAATAATGGGTTGACAGTTCTTTTGTTTAAATATTTCAAAATGTTGTGTCATTTCCATCTAGCTTCCAAGGTTTTTGTTGAATAAGTCACTAGCATTCAAATTATATTTTTCCTATAGGTGAAGTATCATTTTTCTTTGCTGCTTTCAAGATACTTTCCTTTAAAAAACCTTTAATTTTTATTTATGATGTATCTTGGTGTGAACTTCTTTGGTTTATCTTGTTTGTATCGCACTGAGCTTCTTCAACCTACAGGTTTATGTCTTTTGCCAAATCTGGCAAGTTTTCAGCCATTATTATCAAGTACATTTGTAGCCCCACACTCTTTCTAGAGCTCTTATGATGTGACAGTTAGCTGCTATAGTCCCACAGTTCTCTGAGGCTCTGTTCATTTGTTTCCAGTCTATTTTCTCTGTGTTCAGAGTGAATAATTTCTCCTATTCTATCTTCCAGCTTACTGAGTTTTTTCCTGTGTTCCCTCTGTTCATTGTTGAAACCATCTGTGAACTTTTTATTTTGGTTATTGATTTTTTCACTTAAAAAATTTCCATTTGGTTCTTCTCTAAATGTTCTATTTCTTTACTAAGGTTTTTTTTTTTTTTTTTTGTGTGTGTGTGTATATATATATATATATGTATATGTATGTATTTTTTTTTTTTCCTGTGTGTTTTAATTACTTGCTGAAAGGTTTATTATTGCTGCTTTATAATCTTTGTCAGTTAGTTCTAATATCTGTGTCATCTCGATATTGACATTCTGTAGATTTTTTTTCTTTTTCTTCAGTTTGAAATGTTCCTGGTTCTTGGTATGTTGATTGATATTTGATGGAAACTGACATTTTTATGCTGTGTGGGACTCTGGATCTCATTTAGACATTTTATATTAACTTTGACATTGCTCTGGCAGTAGAATGAGGGGTTACTGGATAGGAGTCTAGCTTTTCTCTCAGCTTCTGTCGATAGCTAGGGATAGAGAGGGTGCTTCTTGTTATGTTGGGTGAGAATGGCAGTTCTAGCTCCCTTCTTGGTAGGAGATTGTCTCATTACTGCCATGGGATGATAGAAATCCTGCTCCTCCACTACTAGGCCCCCTCTGACACCACCCCAGGGGGAGGAGTGGAAGACACTGTTATTAGTGAGTGGGAGTGGAAATCCAGGCTCCCCTTGTGAATACAAAGAGTGGAGAGTAGATGAGAGGGCCTCATTACTGGTAAGGTGGTGGTGGTTGGAGGTGGGATGAAAATCTCACCTCTCTACTTGGCTTTCTCTGACACCATCCCAATGGGGCTATTGGGGTGCCTTTGTGGTTGTGGGTGTGGGTGGGGCCACAGTTTCTTCTATGCCATTTGGGTGAAATAGAGCAAAATACTACTAAAAGTTTTCTGTCTCGGTAGACTACCTCTTTCCTTGTACTTCGGCTAGCAGGAGACAGCTTTTATTGGGAGCTTCTTTCGTTTGTTTGTTTATGCCCATTGGTGTTTCTGGATTGCCAGTTTTCTTTACATTTAAGTCTGGGTATATGAAGTAAAAGAACATGCATGGGACTCACCACCCTGTCATTCTTCAGATCCTGAGGTCCTGAGATGGTTTGCCTTCTTTGCTGCACCTTCAGAGTCTTATGTTTGTTACTTAGCAGGAAGAATAGGGAAAAGTACATCTTTTCCATCTTCCTAGAAGTGGAAGTCTCCAAATTGCACATTTTAATATTCTTTGATTATCTGATTATTGAAGAATTTTTTTTATATATATAAAATGGATATAATACCTGTTACATAAGATGTTACAAGGGTTTTTTTCTTTTCCATTTGCTGTTGAGTCAATTCTGACTCAGATGACCTCATGTGTGTCAGAGTAAAACTGTGCTCCATGGGGTTTTCAGTGGCTAATTTTTTTTAGGTAGATGGATAGGTCTGTCTTTCAAGGCATCTCTGGGTGGTCTCTAACCTTCAAACTTTCTTATAGCAGCCAAGCGTATTAACTGTTTATACCACACAGGGACTCTTATAAGGATTAAAGGAGATAATTCATGTAAAATGTTTACTACTCTACTTGGTATTTAATAAGTAACTATTGTTAGTTTTTCTAATGTTCTAATTATAGATTGTATAGTTTTTTTTTAAAGGCTATGAGTTCAAACCTTAAAATTATGTTTTTGTGAATAGTTCTTTTATAATATATGTTTGGATCCTTCCCCTATCTAAAGATAGGATTATTTCAGAAATTTTTATTTATTTATTTATCCCCCTCCCCCCCCAAATGGAAGAGATCTCTGCAGATGTGCCATGTGGATTTCAGATATCTTCTGCTGTCCTGCCAGCCTTTTGTTTAGCAGTCAAATGCCTTAGCCACTATGCTACCAGAGCCACTGGTAGGAAGGGGAATATTGAGACAGTAGATTAAATTGTGCTTCAATAAGAGGCAGTCCAATAGAGTGTGGAAGTCATTGTATTAAGGGTGACTAGCAGTGCATAAGGAGCTCTGGTGGTGTAATGCCTAAGGCATTTGACTGCTAAACAGAAGGCTGGTGGTTCAAACCCACCAGCCGTTCCTGGGAAGGAAGGTTGGGCAATCTACTTCCATAGAGATACTGCCTTGGAAACCCAAGGAGGGGTTGCTGTGAGTTGGAATCAACTTGAGGACAGTGAGTTTGGTTTTCCTTTTTTGGTTTACCAATGACAAATCTAAATGGTTGCTGTTAAGCAAGCAGACAGACATGTAACCCATGTTTATTGTTATGTTGCATTAGAAATACCTGTTTCCTAGAATGAATGCTGACATGAGACTCAGGCAGTAAAGAGATCAAATCCCAGGCTGATTTCTTATCTTAGTCGATCTGGTAACAATGTTGGGCTGTTTTAGGGGTTTTTGTGTAATGGTGCAAAAGTGGTGTGGGGTGTGTGGTACAGTGAAGTACTTAATATAGCTCTTCTAGCCATGGTCTTTGTGACTCCTGCTAGATGACTGGCTAGGACTATGCAAATGTGAGGTGCTTGTGGCCTACTAAGGGGATTGGATAGCTTAGTAATAATGTAAATAAGGTACATGGCACTCTTGTGTGGGCAGGACCATGCAAATAAGGTGTGTGGAGCCCTAATGGAGGGATTGGTCAGTTTTGCTATCTCATTGGTTTTGAAATGAGCCATCTCAGAGGTGAAAGGGGGATCTCACTGCTTTCAAGAAAGAACAGCCAGAAGTGGAGCACTTCCTGGGATCCAAGATCCTTGCAGTGAGACAGCAAGAAGCAGTGGCAGAGAAATGGTGGCAACAGAAGCACCAGAACCAAGAGATTGGCATGAGACTGAGCAGTTGGCTTCTCAGCCCACAGAGCGAGAAAGCAAAATGCCTTTGGAGAAGAGGCTTGCTTCTCTGGCACTTATTGGCAGAGCTAAAAGAGCGTTGTAACACTTGCCTGAGCAGGGCAGAGGCCAGGCTGAAGGGCCCAGGACCAAAGAGAGGTGTGCCTGTGGCCATGGCTGAGGTGATGCTGTCCTGATTGAAAGAATCGTATCCTGGGCATTCCTAAACCTGAATTGTAACCTGTTACTTCCCTAATAAACCCCATAATTGTGAGTATTTTCTGTGAGTTCTGTGTGACTAGTGCAATGAATTATTAAACCCAGCAGAGAATTAGGACCATGGGAAGGACAGTTGGTGTCAGAATTGGTTAAAAGGTTTGAAAGTGGTGGCATGTCTGACCTCTGCCACACAGGAATCAGCCTTGGGCTGTTGATGCTGATGGTGATTCTCTCTTACCCTTGTGAAATTAGAGGTCAGATGACATCTCTCCCATACCCTTTTTGCAAGGTGGCATCTGACCTCCTTGAACTTCACAAGGAGGAAGAAGGATCTTGACATGCTCTGCCCCTGGCTGTTCCTTTTTGATAGTGGTGAAATTCCCCCTTTCTGCCTCTGGGATGACTCATTTTAAGCCTAGTGTGATGGCGAAACTGACCAGTTCCCACATGAGGGTTCCATATACCTTATTTGCCTTATTAGCAAGCTGTCCAGTCCCCTTGGTGGGCCATAAACACCTCACATTTGCATAGTCCCTCCTAGTCATCTGGTGGGAGTCCTAATGACCATGGCATTGTAAATGGTGACTAAACTGTCTCAGAAAATAGTTTGGAAGTCAGCAGATGATAATATCTCTGTAATTTCCTAGCAAAAGGTATGGCCAGTACTTCCATGGATTGGGGGTCTGAGAATTTAGGCCATGTTCTTCGTTTAAGGTCATAGAATATAGCCTATGTATGTGCTCAAGTATCTGCTCTTTGAATTTTCTGTATTTTTTATTTCTAGGGATTCATTTACGCTCTTATCAACTGGAAGGAGTCAACTGGCTAGCCCAGCGCTTCCATTGTCAGAATGGCTGTATCCTGGGAGATGAGATGGGCCTGGGTAAGACCTGCCAGGTATGTTACTGTGGAGTGACCACTGTTTACCTCCCCTGAAATAAAGCCTTACAAATCACTAGCATCTTTTGCTTTAGTTACTAGTATATATTTTTATACTCAGATGAGAAATGCCTGAACCTTTGTTAAGAGTTCTTGACCATCGAAGACATGCCTGTGTTCGAATTGTAATTTATGGGCCTGTTGTTATGGTTGTTAGTTGCTGTCAGGTCCCTTCTGACTCATGGCGACTCCGTGTGTGCAGGGTAGAACCGCTTGCTAGTGTTTTCAAGACTGTGACCTCTTGGAAGCAGATCACCAGGCCTGTCTTCCTAGATGCCTCTGGGTAGGTTCACACCACCAACCATTGGCTGATAGTTGAGCACTTAACTGTTTGTACCACCCAGGGACGAAACATTTGGTTTTTCTCTGTAAAACAGATGTACCTACCTAAGGATCAAATTAACTCTGATTTCCTTAGCAATTATCTAGTTAAATGAGTTACTTTTAATATTAGTCTTCCTTCCCCGGTGATTGATGGGGCTACTGCCCATTTCTGTGCCATGCTAGGAAGTACAGAGGAAGTACCCTGTAGTTTTCACAGTGCCTTGATCATCACATAGTCTTAAAAGGAGATGGACTAAAGTCTAAAGACCTGAGAATCAGATGTCAATAAGCAGATGGTGTCTTGATAGTGATATGTTTTGACAGATATTAATGTTAGGCTAAGGCTGGCAGAGGGGCTCTGGTAGTGTAGTGCCTAAGGCACTTGACTGCTAACCAGAAGGCTGGCAGTTCAAACCCACCAGTCACTCCTCCGAAGGAAAATGAGGCAATCTACTTCTGTAGTGATACTGCCTTGGAAACCTAAGGGAGGGGTCGCTATGAGTCGGTCCGACTCGACGGAACATAACAACAACAGTGTTAGGCTTGTATTGATGGAAAGTCCAGATACAGATACCCCTTGGGTTAATCACACAGGTTTACTTATCTATGGGATACTAAAATAGGGCAGAGCAGTCAGTAAGTAGAGAGGCAACATGATCAGAAAGCATGGAGATTTAATTTAAGTTTGCCGATTCCCAAAAGGCTTCCCTAGTGAACATGCAGAATGAATGAGAGCCTTATCTTTAGACTGCTTCTCCAGGTCATCCATATGTACATAAACAACAGGCTGGAGCAGGCTTATGAGTTGGCTAGTTTCAGTATTTATTAAACCAAAACCAAACCAAACTCACTGCTGTCGAGTTAGATCCAACTCACAGCAACCCCTCCTTGGGTTTCCGAGGCAGTACCTCTATGTAAGTAGATCACCCGACCTTCCTTCTGAGGAGTGGCTGGTGGGTTTGAACCACCAGCCTTCTGGTTAGTAGTCAAGTGCCTTAGGCACTACACCTGTTAGAGGCCACTTTATTTTAACAATGCATACTTCTTCAATCTCAGGGTTATTCAGTATGCTGTATCATCTCCAAGTATCACTCTGAGCTACCATCTTTTCATTTATCACCCTCAGTTTTCTCTGGTAAACTTGGTCCTAGTACATTCCTGAACCGAGAGCTATGGAACTAGAACAAAGATTGGTTTCCAGGACATCTGGGAGCCAGGTTCACAGGCTCTTGGACCAGGTACAGGGCCCTGCCTGCCATCTTTGCTTGTTATGCGGAATTTGCCCTACACACTACATCCAGAGCCAGCAAACTGCACTTGCCCTTTGCCTTTTCCCAAGGTATTTATATTGCTCTACTCCTAGCCTCCTAAAAATGTAACACCTCAAAATTTATTCTGATAAAATTTTGTTTAGAAGTTTTGCATCTGTGTTCATGAAGGGTATGGATCTGTTGTTTTCTTACATTATCTTTATCTACTTTTGTTACCAAGATAAAGCTGGCCTGATGGAATGAGTTGAGAAAGGTGCTATTAAATTGTAGAGATTGCAGTCATACACAAAACAAAATGTGTATGAAATGTTCAGGGGTAAACCAACTTGCTGTGTAAATGTCCACCTGAATCACAATAAAAAGTTATTTTTTAAAAAAAGAAAAGAAGAATGAGTTGAGAAGTATTCCCTTCTCTTTAGTTTTCTTAGAAGAGTTTTTGTAGAATTGTTATTATTTCTTCCTTAAATTTTTGGTAGAATCCTCTGGTGAATTCAAATTCATTTTATAGATATAGCTGTTTTTTAGTGAGAAAAGATAAATTTTCTCTAAAAGTATTCTCAGCAAAAGCTAATCAGAATTATTTTAATCTACTAAGTACTTATTGAAGGACCCAATCTGGGCTGGGAAGTCATACATAGTTTAAAAAAAAATTCCATGTACATTAAAAAAATTACTGCAACCACATAATCACAGCCCTCTAACCATAATAATACATATATTTTAAATGCTGGAAACTGTAGTACACATATAGTTTATATTTTATCAATCTAACATTGTCATTGCTATTTTCCATTTTATTATATTCTTCACAATAATTATTTTCCACTGACTGATAATATCCCATCAAGAGAATTTATCATAATTTATTTAAATGAGGAGGAGGGAGCTCTGGTGGCATGGTGCCCAAGGCATTTGACTGCTAACCAGAAGGCTTGCAGTTCATACCATCCAGCCACTCCTTGGAAGGAAGACTGGTTACTCTACTTCTGTAGAGATGCTGCCTCGGAAACCCAACGAGGGGTTACTGTGAGTTGGAACTGACTAGACAGCAGTGAGTTTGATTTTTGGTTTAGAGGAGGAAAGGCAAACCCTTCTCCTCTCTTTGTGTGATTGATTGATTGATTGATTGTGATTTGGGTGAAAATTTACAGAGCAAATACACTTTCCATATAGCAGTTTACATACACTGTCTCATGACACTGACCACAATTTAGCATGATGCAACATCTCCCCTCCCACTTTCTCCCGACAGCTACCTCCTCCCCGTGTCCATCTGTCCATGCACTTCTACCCCCTGAGCTGTCTCCCTGTGTCTGAGCCCTTTATGTTATTTAAATGAACCTTGAAGTGCACATCTTTGGGCACATAGATTTGTAGGGATAGAGGTTATATTTTTTGGAAAGGTTTTCTTAGAAACAGCCCAGTGTTTGGGAGGTAGGTTCTCATAATTATTTGTTTCACAAGCGAGTGCTGTTTTCTCTGAATACCACAGTATCCTTTTGATACTAAAGTCTATTGGCATATCTTTTGACCATTCGGCTTTACAACGATTTTCATTTAGCCACTCCTTGGAAGGAAGGTTGGGTAATCCTACTTCCGTAGTGATACTGCCTCAGAAACCCAAGGAGGGTCGCTATGAGTCGGGGCCGACTCGACGGCACATAACAACAACAACAACCTGCTTAAGCTTATGAGGCATTAATTATTGCTGTTTTCCAAACTAGAATATATGTTCCAGGAGGGCTAAGAGTGCCTTCTGTTTTGTTCCCCAGAGCTTAGAACAGTACCTAGCCAAAAAAAAAAAGAAAAAGATACTCTATAAATACTTGTGGAAGTAAGGACAAAATTAGGAAAGAAGAGTGGAAGGAAAACATCCTCACTTAGAAGAGAGCTCTAGTGTCATCATTTGGTCGGTCATCTTGACAGTTGTGTCTTGGCACACTTGTTTTATGTTTTCAGCATATTCCTAATCTTGTACATTCTTTACATTGTTTTTATCTATCTCTATTGTCTTTCCTGAGTTTTTCCTTTTTGTATTAAATGTTGCATAACTGTTGAGCATCATTGCTTCTTAACTACTGTAGTAATTGTTGTTGTTATTTGCCATCAAGTCTGATCCGACTCATAGAGACCCCTCCTTGCATTTCCGAGCCAGTATCACTACGGAAGTAGATTGCCCAGCCTTCCTTCTGAGGAGTGGCTGGTGGGTTTGAACCACCAGCTATCTGGTTAGCAGTCAAGTGGCTTAGGCACTATGCTACCAGAGCTCCTACTGAAGTAATAATAGTAATTGTATGTTTCAGGCTTATATGGTTTCATTGTAGGAATGAATTACTCTGCTAATATATGGAAAATTGTGCATTATTTCTTTGCAAACCAATTCTTATATAAGAATCTCTGTTCCCTTGAGGGTTGTGGGGACTTTGTGCTTGATTCTCATATGGAAATGTGATTTTAAACAATGCTATCTTTTTCTGTGTTCTAGACTATTGCACTATTCATTTACTTGGCTGGAAGATTAAATGATGAAGGACCATTTCTTATTCTTTGTCCCTTATCTGTTTTGAACAACTGGAAAGAAGAGATGGAGAGGTACAGAGTATGTGTAGTTGAAACTTTATTTTTTATGTTAATTAATGCTCTGTTGGGGGGTAATGTTTTGATATTTTATGCTATCTTGTTACTTTGAAAGTTTTTTTTTTCCCTGAATGATGTGTAAAACGTGATTAAACAACATATTGTCATAAGTAGTGAGTTTATTTCTTCCACAAAACTCTGAACTGAATCAGTGAAGGTAGGGAGGGTTCAATAGGTATTATTATTTGTCAGTTGGAACTTCATTACTCATTTTTTTAGTAAACTTTGCTGAACTAAAGGAGAAGCCATCTTTTTCATACTGGCATAGGACGTATTCAACAAAACTATTTTTCTTTTTAAGAGCAAGCACAAGACTCTTTTAAATGTTCTTCTGATATTCACACTTACCTTGAGGTTGAACCATTAATTGAGGTAATGTTAACCTTACTAGTCAGGTTATGTCATTTAGAAGACACTATGAAGATTAATGATGGCACAATGGTTAAGCATTTGGCTGCTAAGCGAAAGGTTGGAGGTTCAAACCTACCAATGGCTCTATGGAAGAAGGATGTGGCAGTCTGCTTCCATAAAGATTATAGCCTTGGAAACCCTATGGGGCCATTCTACTCTGTCCTGTAGAATTGCTATGAGTCAGAATTGACTTGATGGCAATGGATTTGTTTGTTTATCTTGATATGATGAGCTCTGGTAGCATCGTGCCTAAGGCACTTCACTGCTAACCAGAAGGCTGGCGGTTCAAACCCACCAGCCACTCCTTGGAAGGAAGGTTGGGCAGTCTACTTCTGTAGTGATACCACCTTGGAAAGGAGGGATCTCTATGAGTCAGGTCTGACTTGATGGCACGTAACAACAACAAATGGGTGGCAGAAATGGAATGGTTAAGCACTTAGCTACTAACCTAAAGGTTGGTGGTTTGAGTCTACCTAGAGGCATCTTAGAAGAAAGGCCTGGTGATCTACTTCTGAAAGATCATAAACTCAAAATAACAATGAAACCAAACTCTGCTGTAGAGTCTAATCTGACTCATAGCGACCCCTCCGTGGGTTTCCAAGGTGGTATCTTCCTTCTGAGGAGTGGCTGGTGGGTTTGAACTGCCAGCCTTCTGGTTAGCAGTCAGGTGTCTTAGGCCCTGCGTCACCAGAGCTCCCATTGAAAACCCTATGGAGTGCAGTTCTACTCTGAAACACGTGGGGTTGCTGTGAGTTGGAATCAGCTCATGGCAGCTGGTTATGATGGTTAAGATGCTCCTGACTCAAATCTGTTGTTGATGAAGGCTGTTGAATAGACACGCACTGCCAGAGGAATGACCGAGTTAGCCTAGAGAAGTAGAACCAGAGGGTACCTAAGCGAGGATGGTGAGACTTCAGTTTGCTTACTTTGGACATGTCATTAGGACAGACCTATCGCTAGAAAAAGACATCATGGTTGGTGAAGTAGATGATCAGTGAAAATGAGAGAAGTCCTCAGTGAGATGGACTGACATAATAGCCGCAACAGTGGACTCAGACATACCAACAATCATGAACATAGTACTGGATAAGATGACATTTTTGTTGCGTTAGATACGTAAGATCACCATGAGTTGGAGCCGACTCCACAGCAACTAACACCCAAGAGCTTTAAGCATTTACTGCCAGGGGAAGGCTCTGAAGTTTTTATTACCAGATTCTCAAGGCTTTCTGGTTGAGGGGCATTATGAGGTCTGCATGTCTGCAATCATTCCATAAAATCTCATTTTCCAGATATGCAGACTGTTTTTTCCATGCTCTAGTGTTTGTGTCCATCTGTGTCTCTTCTTGATTCAGATTTGCTCCAGGTCTTCCCTGTGTGACATATACAGGTGACAAGGAAGAGAGAGCTCACCTGCAGCAAGACCTGAAGCAAGAGTCATATTTCCATGTGCTGCTAACTACCTATGAGGTACCCATTTATTTTTCTATAGCAAGGACTTTTTTTTCTCTAATTTTTATTGTGATTTGGGTGAAATTTTACGGAGCAAATTCGTTTTCCCATGGAGCAGTTCAGACACATTTTGTTTCATGACATTGACTGCAATTTCCCACAGTGTAACAGCTCTCTTCCCACTTCCTCCCTGTAGTTACCTCTTCCCTGTGTCCTTTCCTCCATGCACTCTTGCTCCTGAGCTGTCTCCCGGTGCATATACAGCCCTTCTGTTCTCCCTTGATTGATCTGTCCAAGGAGTATATCTACCTAATGCAAATGTTCAGCATATGTGCCTGTCTTTTGTTTGGCTGGAAGCCACAGTGAGTTCAGTTCTAGACCTGAAGGGTAACTAGGGGCCATAGTCTCAGGGGTCTTACCAGGCTCTCTGTCAGACCATCAAACCTGTTTTTATTTAATGATTTTGAGTTTTGTTCCACATTGTTCTCCCACTCGGTCCAGGATCTCCTGCACTGATTCCGCTCTGAGTGGTTGACAGTGGTGGTAGCCAGACTATAGCAAGGACTACCGCTTTAAAAGCTGTTGAAAACCCTCTGAAATTATAGGTAGTCCCTGGGTTACTAATGTCTGGGAGCTTATACTTGCCCTTTAATGTTACATAAATTTGTCTTCACTTTGAAATGATTGAACCAAACCCTTACACAATGAATTCTTCATCACAGGCACCTTTGCTTGCTGCACTTGCAGCTTTTACATCATTGAAAATGCTTTGAGCTTTTTCTTGTTAAAGTAAAGCAAAATAAGAACCATATGTACCTTTTTCGACTTACCTACAAATTTGACTTAAAGACTTAGACTTAAAGACACACTTAGGTACAGATCTCTCATAATCTAAGGACTGTCTGTATATTTAATTGAATGTATACATTTTTTCTGAGAAGAGAATCTGTTTTCATCAGATACTCTAAGAGGTGCTGTGACCAAAAACGTTAAGAACTATTGTGCTTTAAATTCGTTAGATATCTTTCCACCTCTTTCCTGTTGGGTTAGGGAGGAAGGTTTCCCAGGGAGGTGGCTCTTGAGTTGCATCTTGGTCTATGAATAGAAGTAATGAGGTAGGCAGGCAATAGGCAGGGGACAGGGTTTTCTAGACTGGGACATGGAGGACACTTAGGTGGTTCCAGTCTCATTTTAAGCCCTCTCCTTCAAACTAAGGCTGACTGAATCATCATAAACAAGATCTTCACTTACTCATACTTCCTTTCTATTGGTTTATATAATAGTGGTCCTTAGGAATTATACTCAGAATTTTTTTAACTTAGTGAATGAATAAAACTTAGATAGGCTCTGTAATTTAGGAGAGTTAACAAGAAACAGTATTAGGATTTTGATAGCAGCTATTAATGTCAAAGTTATATTAACACCAACCTTTATAATGTGTTTACTTTGATTTTTCAGGTATGCTTGAAAGATGCATCATTTCTAAAATCGTGAGTAGATTGCACTACTTTAGAAACGATTTTGAGTGCATTGTGAGTCATGTCTTTCTTTCACATTTTAATCCTTCACCTCTTTCCTGGTATGTGTGTCTTCCGTGACTCCTTTTCACAGGTAGGTTGCATGGCTAGAGTTCTATTGTCTAGCCTTCTACTCGTTAGTTCTGTGTCCTTGGGTTAGTTACTTAACTTCTACAAACTTCAGCTTCTTCATCTGTAAAACAGGGTACTTAAATTTCTTATGGCGGATGGTTCTTGTGAGAATTAAATGAGATAATGTGTACCTAGTGGTTTGGGTGGCTAATAGATATTGATTCTTTTAAGTATGCTTCTAGTTAGTTAGATTTCAGGCCTTAGTTCATGAAGTATAGGAAACTTGGATTTAACTCTTGGTACTACCTGAATACAGGTAGTTTATAGTTACAGTTTATGGTCATGTCAAGATAATGCTTATAATGTAAGTTAAATGCAAACTAGATTTTAGCTAAGTAGGGAAAGATGTGTTGACATCACTCATTCTCATTGTCTATGGCATGTGGCATAGTTAGGTGTGGGTTCTGCATCTTAATATTTAGAAACTTTTATTTTTAAAGTGTTTCATCAATGTTTTAAATGTTATTTCTCATCCAGGTTCTTGTGAGTAGATTTCTGTTATCATCTTATTTTGAAATACTGAAGGCTTAGACATAGATTTCATGACTTCCATCCCATGTTTAAAGTGGATTAAGCCAGTGTTTAAATAGGCTCTGATAAGTACTATTATTTTACTTTCCTTAAGAAGAAGACATGCTTTCCTTCTCTTTTTCTTTTTATTATTAATTTATCATTGAAAGTTCCTCATTTGGAAAGGTACTATTCCAGGAACGAGGGGCAGTTTCAGGAAAGTAAATCACAGAGCTCTTTATAAAGTTTTCCATTAATACATCAGACAGTGTTTCACTACTATTCATAAGGTTTTCAGTGGCAAAGTTTTTCAGAAGTGGACTGCCCATCCTTCTTCCTAATCTGTCTTAGTCTGGAAGCTTTGCTGAAACCTGTCCACCATGGGTGACCCTGCTGTTATTTGAAATCCTGGTGGTATAGCTTCCAGCCTCATAGCAGTGCACAAACCACCACAGTATGACGAAGTGACAGATAAGTGGTGGCACCTAACAACAACAACAACAACAAATAACAGAGCTGTCCTAAGGAAACATAAACTACCATGATGGGGTGCGAAGTGTACAGATAACCATAATGCGAGGAAACATATGTGAAGGCTCAAAATCCAAGAAAATTGGGACATAAATGGTGTTGGGCACTTTATACAAATTATTCCATTTAGTCATCATGGAAACCTGTTAGGCAGGTATTCTTACCCATTTTACAGATGAGGAAAGTGAAAAATTACGTAACCCATCCAGGCTGCATTGCTAGTAAATGGCAAAGCAGACATTCAAACCCAGCACTCTTTGCTGTGGAGTTCTCTTTTTATTATTTATTGTTATAAAAATAGAGAGCAACATTTGTCAATTAAGCATTTTTCAGGTATACAGTTTAATGATCTAAATTACACGATACTGTGTAGCCATCACCCATAATCACTGCCAAATTTTCCTCACCATAAACAGAAACTCACTGCCTAGAGAGCCTCTTTTTAAGAGAGTTTCTCAAAGTATTTGGGTGCCCTGGAATTTCACATTATTCAGCAGACATACATTCTTTTTATGTCAGGTAATCTGTTGTGAATGTGTTCCTGGTGATTTAAGAACCTGAGTAACAAAAAGACATTCACAGTGTGGACCAATAATATGAATCCCAAAAAGATAGATGTGTTCTTTCAATTTATTTGACAAGCTTATGTTGTTGTGTTAACTACATCAGATACTCTGTGAAGAGCAGGGAAGTATAATATAATCTCTGCCCTAAAGAGTTAAGACTGTGCACGTTAACAATATGAACTATTGTTTTTGCTAGATGGTAGATGTTCTGGTTACCTAGTGCCACTCTGACAGGAATATACCACAAAATGGGATGGCCTTAACAAACAGGAGTTTATTCTCTTAATTTAAAGGCTGTAAGTCCAAGTTCAAAGTACAGGCTCTAGGGGCTATGTAAAAAACCCCCTCGACCTTGGGCTTTAGCTTTGCCTCTTGCTCCCAGCCTGCTGAAGCTAGAGGCATCTCGTCACTCAGGTAGCTACTGGCTGCTGAGGCTAACAAGCCCAAAGTTGACAAATAAAATGGCACAGTCCTGATGTTACCATACAACACGGCAGGTCATTGATTCAAGTCCATTGAAAGTCCCAAGGTCGGCAGAGCATGGCAGGCTGCTAAATGATGACATGGCTACATGAAGTGTACCATAAACTAGAGACCAAGGCTTCTTATATACAGGAAGCAGACCACATTCCCTAAGGCAGCTACTCAGCTGCTCACAGTAGATTCTACCATGGAGCTGATTACCAGTCTCATCATGGAGAATAACTACATTCAGCTGCCCAGCCACTCAACCAGGCCGGCCAAGTTGACACACAAACTTAACCACCACAGTAGACTTACAGAATCTTTAAATCGAGAGGGTTAGAAGGACTTTATCTGACTCTCCATTAAGTGCTAGATGCCCTCCACCTCTTCCTCTCCAGGGATTCTTCTTTAGAGCTAGACAACTTTTGATGCGTGGTCCCACCTAATTCCTTTCACTGGCCAGAATCTAACTCCCTGTAGCATTTCATTGAACAAGCATTTATTGGATGTTTGCTTAAACCTAGATAAACTTAAAACTAATCCTTGGCTGGCACTATTTGGTGACCACTTTCGCATATTTTCACACCTTATCTCATAGCCATTGTTTTCATTCCTTGTAATCTTTTAAGTGGTTCTCTGATCATGCTGCCCAGCAGGAATGATCCCAACTCCTGCTCTCTGTGGACCCCAGCTGTCCCACTGCGTGTACCACTCTGTAGGTGAACACTACCTGGTGCCTCTGTTTCTGCACCTGTCCTGTGGATCTTCTCTGTAGCGTCACAGCAAAAACCTACTGATTTTCTATCACTTGTTTTAGTGGAACCTTCTCTGACAGGTTTTTGCCTTATACATGTTCCAGCTTTTGCAGGTTTTATTGTATAAAGCAAAATAAAAAATTAAAAATTTTATAACTTCTACTTCGTTACCTTTCCTTAGCTTTCACATTTGTTATATATATATATATATATATATATATATATATGTATAAAACTTCTATATATTTTTCAGTTATTAGATACTTTTTTTTTCATTATAACATAATCATCATAATTATCATTTAAAATGCTATAAAGTGAGTTCATCACCTATTATTAGGCATTTAGATTATTTTCAGTTTTTTGCCGTTTTAAATAATACAACTTGGAACATATTTGTTTATACATGTTTTTTATATTTTGAATTGTTTCTTTTTTGCTGTTTTAAATAATGCATCTTGGAACATATTTGTGTATACACGTTTTTTATATTTTGAATTGTTTCTTAGGAACAGCTTCCCAATAGTCAAAGGATATAATGCATTGCTAGATAGGTAAGAGACAAGTATTCATTTAGGTGAAGGGAAAGATGGTTTACCAAAGCAAGTCATCAGCATGTAACACTAAGAAAAAGGAAGACACGGAGAGGTTCACAAATGGTATAGACAACTGAAGGGAAATACTTTTGCATACACAGTATGTAATAACAAACATTAATCTACAGATGGATACATAGGTAGACAGGCAAAATAATCAGGTATATGTAGGTAAAAGGGAGTATATACATGACCATATATAAGTTTGGCAGACAGTATTTCTACATACATATTTGTATATGCTATAAGAATGCCCATGCATATGATAGAGCTAATGGGGGCAAAGTTAAGATAACTTTGTAGCCACGGCCAAACACCTTGAGAAGTGAGTCACTGAATCTGTGGGCTCAGGACCATGGTTGCAGGGGACATGAAGCTAATTGGCATAACATAGTATGCAAAAACATTGTTCTACATTCTGCTTTGCTGAGTAGCAACTGAGGTCTTAAAAGTTTGTGAGCAGCCATTTAAGATGCAACAATTGGTCTCTCCCCATCTGGAGCAAAGAAGAGTGAAGAAAATCAAAGATGCCTGGAAGCAATTAGTCCAAGGGACCAGTGGACCATGGGAACCTCAGCTTACATGACCCTGAGAGCAGAACTAGATGGTGCCCGGCTACCAATGTGAACTACTTGGAAAGGGTCAAAATAGGGGATCCTGGATAGCGTGGGAGAACAAGGTGGAACAAAACGCCAAATTGTAAGGAAAGACCAGGTTTACTGGTGCTTGAGACTGGTAAAACCCACAACACTATGGGCGTTAGTCACTCTTCAGGCCTGGAATTGAATTCACTTCTGTAGCTTCCAGCCAAGCAACAGACAGTCCTTCAAGATGAGCAATTACACTAGAGAGGTGCATTCCTTAGAACTATCAACCATGGGACATCAGAAAGGCAGCATTTGCACAGGGAGGTAGCTTAGAGGGCAGGAATATGTAGGAAAGGACACAGGGAAAAGGTAACCAAAGGAAGGAAGGGGAAAGAGAGCTGTTATATTGTGGAGATTACAATTAGTGTCATGAAACAAAATATGTATGAACTATTGAATGGAAAAAAATTTTCTCTGTAAACTTTCACCTAAATCACAATTGAAAAAAAACAAACCCCTATATAATGTTTTTATGACTGAACACTCTGAAAAATTGTATAGCCTCCTACTTACAGAACGTACTCCGACAGTGACTTCCATAATAGCAAATATAGTGGATATAAATGCAACATTTGATCCTATTAACCACTTGCCCCATTCCAAAAGGAGCTCTGGTAGCATAGTGGCTAAGACACTTGCCTGCTAACCAGATGGCTGGCGGTTCAAACCC